CCCGGCCCCCCAGACTCACGCGGAAAGCCTGCCTGGCGGATCAGCTTCTTCTTAGACAGCACCTTCATCGCCTGTGGGAGAAAAGACCCAGCACCCAGGTTAAAGCAGTGAGGACAGGGGAGAGGGAAGCTCCCCCTATTCCAAGCTCTTGCTCATGTGGAGCCTCAGGACAACGCAGTGAGTACTTCGTCACTGGAGGTGATCAAGCAGCCACTAGGGTGTGTGAAGGCTGGACTCTAAGGACCCCTCCATCCCTGAAGGTGCTCTTGGGGTTCTGGTGAGCCCCCTCAGCTGAGAGACCATGAGCCTTGGAACTCGCTGCCCCTGAATCAAGACACAAGTGAGTCGGGGGTGACTGTCTGTTTTATCCCAGGGAAAACTGAGGCTCAGAGCTTATATCACTCGTCCAAGGTTACACGGCAGAGCCAGGATTTGAACCCCCATCAGACTGACTCCAAAGCCTTAGGTACAAGGGCACTGTGTCTCCCTCCCACACTGTGCTCAGTGCCACAGAGGATGAAGAAACGCAGCCCAGTTAGGCATAAGAGACGTTTGCTTCACCACCCCATTTCCCCATCTGTAAAATGGGAACAGCACTCCCTTCCTAATGCACACAATGGCCTGACAATAGAATGAGACCACAGCTATGACATCCTCCCCAGAAGCTGAGTGCTGGAAAGGAGGCGTTTTCTTTGGACAGCATGGGATTGGGGGGGAGGGGCTATGGATACTCACATAGTAGGTATTGTCGTTTTCATTGTAGGCCAACTTGACCACGCCATAGGAGCCCTGGAGAAAGGGAGATGCCCATGACATGCTATCTAGAAGTTATGATCTGCAAAACGAGGACCCTAATACAGTTGCAAAGCAGCAGCCCATCGGCCAGATCTGGCCTGCAATGGTGTTTTGTTGGACTTACGGAGTTTTTACAAAGTTTGAATTAGTTGCCAACACTTAACATCAGAAAGATTTCATGCAAAAATCTAGATTCCCGGCTTCTTTGAAAAAACTGGAAGAAGTGACTGTATGGAGCCCTCCTTTCCATATGTTAACAGTTTGCCACAGACCTCACTACTCCCTACTGTCTTATACCTAGGCTGCTCCATTCCTTCATAATACTCACTTGGCCTCTACAGGCATTTGAGTTTTTGTCTCTTCCCTGTACTGACACTGCCCACTGGCCGAAACACAAGTAAAAACAGATGTGAGAGTACTCTAGGGAAGAAAAGACAACACCAGTGTGGGGAGGGCACAGCTATCACCATGGCG